GCTTATTGGATGAGACATTATAATTGTCACAATCTTCAAGTTAATTTAATAGAGATAAAGACCTTCAAGAACAACATGTTCTTTTTTAATAGATGGTGAGATACAACATATTTGGTATCACAAAGAGGCTTTGATGTTTTGTGACTTTATTAGACGTAGAAACGGCTCTTAATGGTATTTTAAATATTTTTTTAAAAAGAATTACAAATATCTCAATAATGATCAAATAATAAGGTGATCTTTCCACCTTATTATGAAATATTATCAATAGCTAAGAAGACCTATGAACCATCTTCTAAGGAAACAAAATTTAAAATATGTGGCAAATATACTTCACCTCATTTTAGATTTCTTCATTATAAGATGATTGTTCTTTATAGAACTAATTCCTAAAAGAGGAAGTAATATCATGGACATACATATTTACATAGATAAGAAGTATTAGATAAAAGATAAATGTAGATAGATTTAATATTATCTTATAATAAAGCTTCTTAGAAGCTACATAAATGTATATTTGACTTTATACATGTTTGTAATTAATTAGTAGGTTAGAAACTTGACCAACAAGTTAGCTATATGTTGCAAATATTGATAGTTTATTGTACAAGCTAATGATGTAGTGTACATATAAGAATCTTATCTTGTAAATTAATACATGTCTCTTATAAATTAAACATGTCTTAGAGGTCTTATATAACATTATCACATAGCTGTTAATTAGATAGTATATGAAGAAGGAAGAAAGAAGCCTCATTTGCTCTTATTAATACCTTTTTAGTCTTTAGACTTCTTTCAAGACTTTTTAATCTTCTTGTTTTTGGCAATAGTTATTCAAGTTTAATAAAATATCATCTTAGTGATTCTATATTTTTTTTGAATAATACAAGAATGTATTGATCTTTTAGTCTTTTGAGATTTAAATCCTGGATAATTTTTTGGTCAAGTTTCCAACCTACTAATCATTTTATGTATATATATAAAGTCAAATTTACATCTACAAATCTTCTAAGAAATTCTTCCACAAGATATTATTTAATCTACCTCCATTTATTTTCTACATAATAATTCTCATCTAAATATTATGTAGACTCATGATGCCTTTTTATTCCAAACACAACTTCTTTTAACTTGTAAATTCAATACTTCTAATTATAACTCTATACTTATTTTTTATCCAACTTTCTTAGCCTACAATTATTTTCTAAGAAAGTTAGAATTTTATACAAAAATTCTTACAAAGAGTCACTTTTTTACAACATGAATTTCCACCCATAATTTTTTTTAATACTAATATCACTTAAAAATTGTACTTTTTGGCACTGTAAGTGAAATTTTTGTTTTTAAACTACAAGGGAGTCAATTTGAAGATTTATACATGGCAATATAACTTTGTTATTTCTAGATTGCACAATGTATTTTATACTCAATATGATAGTACATGACATCCTCACCTTACAACTTTCTATTCAATCATTATGTGCAAATACATAACAAAATATTATAAATCCTAACATAAACAAAAAGATGACACACTATTTAATATTTCAAATTAGTCCTCACAAAATTACCATGGACATTGTTTTTAAACTACATGATTCAATATAATATAAAGTATGTTGGAGAAAATTTGATCATTCTACTTATATGGTATATTAGTGGAAAAATAAATAAATAAATATCCAAAATTTACAAATTTTATTTGATTTCAATAATTATTCATAAAATAAAGTTTCTTATGGAGAATACTCTTTTACATATCTTTTTTACTTTTTAATTTTCAGCATATTATAGTACACATGCATAGTATTGCATTTAAACTTGCCATCAAAAATGATGGTGTGCAACAACTCTAAGAAGGCTTGAAAGCCACAATGTTTACAAATAGTTACAAAATCAAAGAACAATATATACTCTATTATTTATGTTTTTCTTGTTAGGAATAAAACTTGATGACCATAGATTTATAAACTTATTTTTAAGTTCCAACATACTACAGACATGAGGTATTTATACTTGTGTGTAAATATGTGTATATACATCTACACACATTTTGTCCAACCACTCCATCAAATGGATGCACCTAAGCTATTCTAACTGTTCTTATTCCTGATTGCCACAATTTATAGAAGAATACCTCTCTTGTTTCTAAATCAACAGTGTATAGAATTATATCCTGAGATTTTTTGATAATTTTATTACAGCAAATAATAAATGATATAAAATAGTCCAGTCTGTATTCCATGGCCAGTAATTTTGATGCCACATTTACATCAAAGTAGCATGAAATACAGGTTCAAAGTAAACACGTTGTTATTTTTTTGATTTCTCGAAAAATTTCAGAAAATTAAATTTAGGATATTATATGTTTTTACCTATGATCCAAAAACAAAAGAATCGCCTCTTGAGCAAGGTTGAACGCAGGCAACCCCAGTAATTGATGCAAGAGTGAAATCTACATTTTCGTCCATCCAATATATAGATGCACACACTAGTTCATGACATATACATCATTCATTACGCACATAATTCCATCCACAGTGACGTGGCCATTCCGCCACAACTCTAACACAGAGCTCGTTTAGGGGCCAGCGACACAGGAGAATGTCCAGATTGAACCAACTGTCCATTCTTCCTCGTATAGATGGAGAATGTGGTCGGAAGGATGAATAATACGTTGTTTCTCGTTGTCAAGCTGCCACATTGTTAGGGAATGAGTAACAAGTTTTCTTACTAAATTCCAAGCTTGCACAGACAACCAATAATATCACCTGGCAAGATTAAACTGTAAACCTAGTTGGGAATGGTTTTGATGGAAATTGTGAACACTTATTATTTGGACGATGAGCCAAGATTAGTACTGTTCATCAAGTTTTACTTACATGTTTTGCTTGACCACCAAAACCTTTGTGTTTTTAGTTTAAATATAATATAACATAGAGAGGGGAGGAATGAAATCATATTAACAGATTTTCAGTAATATTATGCAAGTTTCGCTTCATGAATGTGCCACTAATTTCATGAACAGTCAGGTTTAATGGACAGACGTATCGATTACACTAGATTTTGTATTTAAAGTATGTCCATTGTTTGTTGATACGCGTGTGTTCGCATTGAAGATTCAATTTGTGTACCATCACAGTTTGCAGCTTTCAACAACTTTGATTTTTAAATATGTACTAATAAAAGCACGAGGACAAAAGAAATATATAATGAGAATATCCATCTGCTGTGACTCATCTTTCCTTCCTTAGTTCTTATTTTCCCTGTCCTTTTACTTAGTTAAGTTATTTTGGTGTATATACACACAGGTCAATGGACATTGTCGCGTACGTCTGTCTTACGCATACAAATTGTTGCATGAAATATTGAAAATGTGCCAGCTGGGCGAAATTGTGGTTCGCCAACTCAATCCTAATTCCAGAGCCCTAGTTGACACCGCAATGAAATGCCAGATCATACTCCTCGTAACGCACAAACAAAGCATATTCTCGCCAAAAACTAGATATAAAAATAGTTCCTTAGAGACTGGGCCACGTTTAGAGAATAAGCGCTTGAGTTATAGAAAAGTCTTTAAGTTCCTTAATATTGAGAATAGAGTACAAAGCTATTAAAAGTCAAATTTGGAGTGCATCAAATTAAATAGATTATTTGGAATATTTTTCATTTAGTAAATGGTAACTTGCTATATAAGAAGTGGGAAGTCCGTTCTTCAAATCATTCCAAAGCGTTTGATTAAGTTGGCCTAAGACTGATTGTCACTATTAACAAATCTATCTCGGGACATAATTTATTCTGTATGTATGCATGTATATAAAATACAGCAACTGTTGGATTTGATGACTTTGTGGAACCATAAAAACTTCAAGTTTTTATTTTTATTCTTATGACTTGTACAAAACCAGATTACTCTGAAAAGATAAATGACAACCTCGTTTAATCCACCACAATATTTGATGCTTTTTATAATTAAAAAAAAAAAGAACTTTTCGTGGATTTCTCCATTTCATGTCATCTCTATATTTATATACTTTGAAATAGTAATTTCAACACACATTTTATATGCATCATTGAGTAGACTATGCTTCTTGTTTTGAGTACTTTTTGCAAAGAGGGCACCTTAGCCTGGAAACTTCTCCATCCACAATGAGGTCTAGGTAACCTTCCATTCAAACTGTGTGTCTTTTGAGGAGACACAAATCTCACCATTTTCCCCTTCTTTGAAGCAACCAAGGTGGCTTTTCATTCAAATTTCTGGAGTCTAAGAAGAGAGAGAGGGACCATGTCCACACCAACACCATCACTTTCATTCTTTTGAATTGTTGTGTGTGGACCACATCTCTATTTCGTTTTGCCAACATAACAAAAGTATTGAGTAATGTATAAGGAGGCTTGGTCAAAGGTGTTTCTCAACTTTTTACCAATGTGTGTAGTAAAGATGTGGTATTTTAGACTTAGTTTTAGTTATAGTTTTGTCATTTAAAATATTATCAGAAATATATAATTACAATTATGAAAGTAGTGTGATGATGAATAGTGATACATGGATGGTAGTAAAATAGCTATAGTTAAAAAAACATAATAGAATTATCAATGTTTAATTTAAATTCAATTATATATATATATATATATATATATGTGTGTGTGTGTGTGTGTTCTGAACCTAGAAAAGACATGATATTACTTACAATACACAAACACATCATTTTGCACACACATGCACAAAAAATCAGTGTTTTTAATTTTTTAAAATTTACATTATATTATTTTAGAATGTTGAAGAAATAAAAACTACAAAATCCCATTGAAAAAAGTGGAATGAGGGCACAAGCTTAGTTGGTGACATGACGTTTTATCAAGGATTTGGGAGGGGGATATATCAAAGCCATATCAGAACTCGCCCCCACGCGGCCAGGAGCGCTGCCCCAACTTCTGCTAGAAATCCTCGACAGTTTTTTTTACTTACTTATTTTTCCTCACTGTTATTTCGCCAGGGCACAGGAATTCATCTCCAGCTTTTATTTAGCCGCGCGTTGTGTGAAAATCATTCTACTCTGGGCTTAGGCAGATGTGGGAATAATTTGACTGGGGTAGGCGAGAGAATCGTTGCAATCGTTTCTGTTGGATCTGCATTGCAGTGGCGATCGTCTCGTTCGTGGCGCTCTCATTCTTCGTTTCGGAGGTAGGTTGTGTCTGTCGTTGTCGTCATTTCGTCTCGGCTGAACACGCTGTGCTCTTATTTTCGACGAAATTGAGTCAGGGATAGCACCTTATTTGCTCTGGGGTTTTTTAGCTTGGATTTTCATTACCTTCGCCGAAGTAGTTGTAGTTGGTGACGATAGTGGTGGTGATGACGTTGAGTTTGTTGACGTAGCCATTGAAGATTAGTGTAAGTGTTTGTGTTGTAGCAGAGTGCGACGATCAAGTAATCTGGACGGAATCATATCACCACCGACGCCGCTTCTATGGAGGCGGAGGTCGAGCGGGTGGGGGAGTTCAAAGCCACGCGGAATTACGTCAAGCCAGGAACTACTGGAAGGCCCAATCTTAGGTTGCAACCTCTGAGCGTCTTCACAACGTCAAAGCCTACTAGACTCCTCACAAAAATTCATGGCAAGTGGTACGATTTGACTGAATTCGAGAGACTTCATCCGGGAGGACCCGTGACGCTTGGTCTGGCGCGAGGTCGTGATGCCACCATCATGTTTGAGAGTCACCATCCCTTCACTGACCGGAAAATATTAGACGCGATTTTGATGAAGTATGAAATTAGCTCTTCGAATAGTAGGAATCTGGAGACTCTTGAGCAGCGGTATGGCGTAGCGGAGCACTCGTTTCAATGGCCGAGCGCTTTCGGTGAGGCCCTGAAATTTGATGTGAAGCAATACTTTGAATCGGAGGCGAAGAGGCGGAATATCTCCCTCCGAGAAGCAACCAAGGCCACCCCAGCGCGGTGGATTGAGATCTCGATCCTTGGAGCCCTTTATTTAAGTACATTCCCCGGATTCTTCACAGGCGATTGGAGATTTTTACTTCTTTTCCCCCTCATGGCGTGGCTCATTGGAGTGAACACCTTTCACGACGCGACCCACTTCGCTCTGTCGGCCAACTGGAGGTGGAATGCCTTAGTTCCTTACGCTTACCCTTTCTTTTCTTCCCCCTTTGCTTGGTACCACCAGCACAATATAGGTCATCACAGCTACCCGAACCTCTCTGATCGGGATCCCGATGTGTTGCATTACTATTGGATGAAGCGCGAGCACAGGGAGGTGAAATGGTTTCCCCGTCACAGGAATCAGAGCACTTGGTGGTACATGCTCTTGTGGTGGGGTGTGGCGGTCGAAGTTGGCATGGCGATCATGGAGGATGCGTGGATGCTGCAGAGCAATCTTTACAACGAGGTTGTGCCCATGATGGCCATTAGCGGGCTACGCAGGATTGCGCACATCCTCGGAAGAGTATTGACGATCGGCGTCATTCACGCCTGGCCTTTCTTCACAATGACGTGGGGGAAGGCTTTCGCGTTCTCCCTCATCCCGTATCTGTTTTTCTCGATAGTCTTCATGATGAACACTCAGATCAACCATCTCCTTCCTCACATCATCCACGTCTCGGACGTCGATTGGTACAAGCACCAGGTCATCACTGCCCAGGATTTCGGCGTCGGTAGCAAGTTCTGCCATCTCTTCAGCGGGGGCTTGAATTACCAAGTGGTCCATCACCTGTTCCCGACGGTGAACCACTGTCATCTCCCGAAACTGCAACCCATTGTCGCTCGGCTCTGCGAGAAATACGACGTCCCTTACGTGACTGCAAGAGGCTACATTCATGCCATCCAACTCCATCACCTGCACACGTCAAACATGTCCACAAAGGTAGAGCATGTCGAATAGGCGCACAATTTGCCAGGAAATTGTGTAATTCTTTTCCCACGGATCCAATTCGATCCATACAGACCTAGAACCCTTTTGGGTATCGTGACTGTTGCTTCCAACCATCATTCTCATCGCCAATCCTGTTCATTCAGACGTTTTCTGTGTGGAAGCGTCCGAAGGCACTGATATCTGCTTGTTGGGGAGGCTCAGTCTGATCGGCTTTTTCTGCTCATGGCAGTGGGAGAGAAGACAAATACAAAGTGATTTCGACAGACAAGTGAGGACAGTGCTTGGTATATTCGGCAGGTGATGCGTCGTTGAACGTTTCCAGACTGGATAAACTTGAAAAGATAACGTCTCTGCTTAATAGGATCACTCGCAGCGAGCACCGAGCCTTGATGTGCTGAGTAGTTATATTGAGGCGTAAGATACTAATACAGTCTGTGCAACTGGCGCTATAAAAAGCAAACATCCTTCCCTGGATCTGATCTATATTCTATTCCTCTGCCAATCTATAATTGCGACAGTTCCGAAGGCATTAGATATGACCGGTAACTTCGAACCGGAGCTCACAGTTATGCTCAGGTTTACGCATTGACAACTCACCTTATGGATAGGAATAAAGTAGTTTACTGAAGGTTTTAACACTCAACTCAAGTGAGCGTTTAGATTTAAAGATGGTCAGAAGGCACTGCTAGTGCAAAGGATTCATATAGATACACATATACGTCACCAAGTGAGTGCATAGCTCATATAAAAATTGTTCTTATGGTCAATATATCCTTAACTGAATTGGGAGATTTGTTAATTCATTATACAGATATGATGATTGCCTCGCATGTCCACAGATCAATTTACGTAAATTAAAATTAACAAGTTAATTATCAAATCCAAACCTCACAAACTTTCCTTCTCCATGCAAAACTGATCAACATTGCAATTTTCTCACCATAGAACAGGTAACGCGAAACAAGATCGTGTGTAGTCATCTCATAAACTGAAACATCATCGGCAATAGAGTCCTTTGGAACTTTACAAAGAATGAAACATAGCCAGAAAAGTACCAGTTTGGACATAACAAAACAAATGTTCTATTGGCTTCCATGAATAATTACACGGATGGTTTGCAAAGAAGACTACTGTACAACCCCTCTAAATGGAGTGAAAAGCCCTTCTAAGGAAACTCTTGTGGGTACGCTGCTAAGGTTCATACTGCCCATCATCGACAATCCTCCGCCATGTCATCAAAATGGGAGAGCCCATGCTGACTGGGCAGGCGGGCATTCAGCCTCCGCAACTCAGGAGGCTCCATTCCTCGATGACCTCCACCCCTTCGCATTGCAGCAGAAGCTTGTACCACTTTGCTGCCTCTTCGTTTTGTTCGCATTCCAAGCATGCTTACAGCGGCGCAGTGCTCTGCCTTCCTGTGTTGCCCCGCCCACCAGCGTCGTTACATGCGTCTTGAGTAAGGGAGTTCGGCGCAAAGCCCCCCACTGTTTCTCATACAACTGGGACAGCCAAAAGGTGTGGACACAGTGACGGCACTGATAGTCCATGGGAGCCATCGCTTCAGCCCTTGTCTCCACATTTGCATCCCATGCTTTCTGCGCCGTCCACAAGATAGAGCATCCCCCACGTTTGCAAGAGGAGAATTGCTGTCGCACTGGATGCTACAAGCGCGACTACGGACACGACGATTGACGCATATCAGGGGCGCTGCAGCAAATGAAGTCGAAGGCAGGGAACACGAGCTCTGGATTTGTAGCGCAAGAAGGCAGCTGGAGATCGATGGATTGGATGGACGCTCGATGACGTCAAAGAGGATGAATTTATTAAGGTTCAGGATGAAGGTCGGAAATGTGAACAAGAGAGACCCTCGTAGAACTGTGGCCTCGAGACCTCCAAACCCCAACAACTGGTTCCGCCATTGTTTACCGTCGAATTGCGGTGGTCCTCAGATTCAATACTAGCCGCTGATCCAAAGACTGGGAAACTATGGAGGGAACGTAGGGGAACCATCGGGGCGGGCAGCTTGGGAACGATTTACAATTCCAATCTACGGATGTTTCAAACGGTGGGAACGGCCTTCCAGAACATGTTATAGCAACAGAGAGATTTTCATGAGCGGTATGTTTCAATTGAGAAAAAAGGAAACTGGTCCAAACAAAACGCACCTACTATGTCATGCTCATTCGTCATCAAGAACTTGGATATCGAGTAATGTAACTTGCTTCGTATAACATACACATTCCAAGCACAAAACAGTACACTTTTGACTTGCATCGACGACATTGGTTCCTTTGTCTATAAAATCCAACTTTGTGAGAACACCAAAAGTTCTCTCTCTTGCAGATTGATACTGGGACGTCAAATCATATAATAAAAATAGAAAATATGACTACTGGGATCCATGTGTGGTATAATGTAAAAATTTAGGACATTTCATATGTATAAAACATACATTGAAGATATATTTGAAAATACTTTATTCAATTTTTTAGGATTTTTTAAAATAAGGATTGATTAATTAGACCAATTTTAGAGTGTTCAATGAGTACATTTATAAATATTTAGATTATGTTGTAATTTACTTTCTTCCAAAAACCTTGATAAATAAGATAAACGTGATACATTAAAAAAAAAACATGATATATACTTAACAATAAATTAAAACAAATACAATAACCATAATAGTGTGGTAATAAAAACTACTACTAAAATGAGTCTTTATTATATACTAGCAAAAATTTGTGCCATTAGGTACTAAAAAATTGTAAAATTTTAATTTTTGGTTGCTAAATTGTAAATCAACCACTCTTAAAGAAATGTTGACTAATAAAAAAAAAAACAAACAAAATTCATTTGTACTTCTCCAAACCTCACTATATTCAATACCTTGTTTCTAGGCTAAATGTCCTAAGTTAGTGTAATGGTGTTGATTGCAAGGTATTAACTTATAAATTATCCATGCTACTATCTAAATTGGCAATGATCCATAGTGTTTAAAGGAAAAAAATTGTAAATGAGTAGTAGGGGATACCTTCTCCTATTGATGAAGATCTTTTAGAATAGACAAAAAGAGAACAATTATAAGCCAAGTGGCAATAAGTACAATAAAAAAAGTCACCTTCTAATATTTTTTTTTTGTCTATTTTTTAAGTTTAAAAGAGCAAAAAACATGAAAGAGTAAGAAGTCTTATCAAATGGTAGGAAAAATTTATAAGAAGCAATTATGTTTATATCATGTTTTTAGAGTGATAATCTAAAAATTATGTCCATTAATAAATGAAAAGTATGTAAAATTAAAATTCATTATGTACTTCAAATTACAAGATGACATCAATTAAGACTTGCTTGTAATTATTAGTGTGAAGTGAAAGAAACAATCAACACGATCAAAATAAGAATAATACAAAATAAGTGAAATAAATAATATTATATACACAAAGATTGTGTCATGGACATACTCATGTAAGCTAGTAATTACATATATAAATAGGTAGAAGTAAGTAAAAGTAAATAAAAGTAAGTTAATTCTATAGTATTTGATGTAGTAGCTTCCTAGAAGCTTCATAGATGCTGCTTTGACTTCAAAGGTATCTATAATTGCCTTTTTGGATTAGAAACGTGGTCAACAAGTTGGCCATGTACCACACATATTGTTAGCTTGAAGACCAAGCTAACTATGTGGCCCACACATAGAAAAACTTGCATTGTAAGTCAAGGCATGTGTCCTACAAAGTCAACACATATTGGAGGTCTTATAGATCGTCGCCACGTAGCCCCTAGTTAGATAGTATATATAGAGATAAGAGTGAAGCCTTCTTCACTCTTGTCAACTCCTTTCTTACTTCCAATCTAGTTTCAAGGGTCTCTAATTTTCTTATCTTTTGACAATAGCCATTTCAGTTTCTCTCTCAATATACATACTTGTTTATTTATATTTTTTTACCTTTCTTTGAGTGAAGGCTCACTTGATTGAATTACTTTTTCATCGAGTTCTTGTCCTGGACAGATTGACAAGAGTACACTTACAATATCAAAGCTTTGTCTAATCTTGATTAAGAATGGATTACCCCTTTTTTTTAATAAGATATAAACATATTAGAAGTTGCGGATTACCCTCTTCTAAACTGATATTGTCTTTAGTATTTTCTTTGTTTTCAAGTCCTCTCTTCTATTTATCTTGAGCAATATTAGACATCTTCTCTTTTTTAAGTGTTATCATTGCAGAACTTGTTGAAATGAAGAATACAATGGCACAAATGTAAGAGCAATTGAGAGAATTAATGCTTGCGATGCATCAACTCAATTTACCACCACATAGAATAACAAGATTGGCAAGAAGTGAAGATATAGAAATGGTTGAAGCTGCTTCAACATCTACACCAAACCATGTCCTTTCTCCTATGGTGGAACGTCCTTCTAATATTAGAGAACCAAGAATTGCCCTATCTGAGAAGTTTGATGGCACCAGATCTAAGTTTTGAGGATTTATCAATCAAGTGCAACTTGTGATTGAACTTCAACCCCAAAGCTATCCAACTCTAGGATCGCAAGTTAGATTCATTAGTATGCTTGTTTCAAGTATAGTACTATTGTGGTTTTCATCTTTTTTTGGACGACAAGATCCAATATTGGATAATCTAGAGGCTTTTCTGGATAATTTTCGATCCATGTATGGAAAACATGATGCAATTCGTGTTGCAATCAATAAGATGCATATTTTATGACAAGACAATCGATCAGTAACATTGTGCGCTTCATAATTTTGGCAACTTGCAACTGATATCAAGTGGGATGATGTTGCACTTATTAGCCAATTTTTCTACGGATTATAATATGAGGTAAAAAAATTAATGCTCAACTTATCTGATCCTCAAACATTGAGTCAAGCAATTGACTTTGCTGTGAAGTGCGATAATCATCTTTTTGAATTTTGATCTAAAAACCATACAAGTGGACCTCAATGTTACTATAATTCAATATCAACACCTCTTCAACACATACATTCGAAAGTAGAGGATATGCAAATTGATGCAGTACGTTTTGAACCTCTTACTGAGCAAGCAAAGACTCGTCGTCATCAAGAAGGATTATGTTTATATTGTAGAGAACCAAAACACAATGCTCAATATTGTCCAAAGAAACGACGCAACCATAAAATAAAGAATATGGATGTGAAAGAAGACAATATGTCGAAAAACGAGTTTGTCCAACTACAATAGGGACCGTGCGACTGGAACCTTGTACAACATCTAGTAAAGGTCCTATTCTCTCCTCAAAGCCCTCTCTTTGTTTTACATTAAATATTATTTTAGGACCTAAATATTACAAAGCCTCTGCCTTGTTAGATTCAAGAGCCTCAGCGTGTTTCTTAGATGAAGAATTTACTACAAGACATAACATATTTTTAGTAAAGCAAACTAAACCTGTTCATGTAGAAGTCATAGATAGTCGTCCATTGTTTTCTAGAGATATTACTTACGAAACCCTTCCTATAGAAGTAATAATCAATGGTCATAATAGCTTTGTAGTATTTAATATCATTAGATCTCCCTCTAATCTAGTCATTTTAGTTTTATTGTCGTTAGAAAAATACAACCCTCAAATAGATTGGACTTTCCGAATTCTTACTTTCTCTAAAAGTATAACTAATAGTGTAGTTAATCAAGTAGAGAGTCATAAGTCCAGTTCAATTAAACCCGTATTTATAGGTACAAAAGCTTTCTTACATGCTACTATGAAAGAATCACCATATATTATTTATGCCACACTCGTTTCTACAAGTGGAAAGACTTCACATAGCAATCCA